ATGAGGACATGAGTGTTTTCCTTACAACATTTGTCGAAAACAATATGTCCCAATTTGTTGAGTTATATGTGGATATTGATACATCAGACGATAGATCAATATCGATTCGTGGGGTGGATCTTAATAATCAGTCACACAATATGTATCGTCCTCTGTACCCCAGTCCACACAATCAATGGTTGCACATGGAGAAGAAAGCGACTATATGGTAGATGTTGATCCGGAGAATGAAGAGCAAGAGGAAGAAAAAATATAAATAACAAGTTTTATTAAATTCTACAATAAGGTTTTTTATCCTAAGGTTTTTATACCTAAAAATAATAATAACTAACTTAAATTAAATAACAAAATATAAAACAAAACTACAGTAAATAACAAAAAAATAAAACACATACCTGCAGTTGCTGCTAAACGAATGCCCTCGCAGAGGAGATGAGGCAGCTTGGAAGAAAAAAAGGAGAAAAAAATTTAGAGAGAAGGAGGGCAAAGGAGATGAGGCAGCTTGGGAGAAAAAGGGAGGAAGAGAATTAGAGATAAATAGGAGAAAAACAAAAGTGAGAGATTGGAAGAAATTTAGAAAGAGAAGTGATAAAATTGGTGCATACATGGATGGAGGGGTGAGTTTTGGTTATGGAACCTAGTCATGTTACAAAAGTTGACAGGACTAAACATGTCAAAAAATGTGACTGGACTATCTTGTCAACAAAAATGACGAGACCCAACACAATCACGCCACGTGGACGGAGACCGGTTGGGATTGATGACGTGGAGAGGAGTCCATTAATTAACGGATTTGATTGCTCTACTAAGAAAAAAAAAACTATCCAAATATACTTTGAACAGGATAATCTTTTCACCAATACTCATAATAAGGTGAATTTGCCCAATAACATATCAACTAAAGTTTGAATGCGGGGAGGGGGTGCTACCTTTGAAGCACGGACTCGTGCATTTTTGAGAAATTTGCGTGTCGGACACACGTTCCGACACGCGTCCGACACGCGGTCAATATTTGGGGACACACGGTCAACTCCTCGACACGTTTCAACACGTTTTTCCGACACGCAGTCAACTTTTTCAGACACGTGGTCAATGCTCGTACACGCTCGGACACGTTTTTTTTTTTATTAACTAAAAATTAAAAAAAATCATTTATAAATGGGTAGCCACGTTCCGACAGGGTTCTCCTTCTCCCATCCACCGACAGCACCGTCTTTGTCAGCGTCCGTTCTTCCAGAAGCCACGCGGCGTTTCACGGCGGAGACTAGCCCCAACAACGCAGGGGCAACGGAAGCCAAACAACCTGCGGCTCTGTGAGCTTTGAGGAGAAGAACCCAAGTTTGTTGCTTTGCGTTTTTTCCTCTTCCTTTGTCTCTGGGAAGACCTGAAGAAGAGTCTGCAATGATGAAATCTTCTTCCTCAGTGAGACCCTCAAGCTCAACTATGGACCAGTTTGGGTTCTCCATCTTCACAACCACGGGGGTTCCTCTGTGACTCTCTTTCCCCACCAATTGAATAAAGGTTCCATTTTTGGGGTCTGATCTCACAAACCCAACTCAGGAAACACAAAAATAGCACCTGTTTGCATTTTTCCAACCATATCTCCCTTTCTTTTCTGTAATTTCTTTTCTATTTTTTTTAACCCCACAAAAAAATGATAATAACAATGAGAAAGAAGAAGAAGGGAAAAAAAAGGCTATAACTTTGATCTCATTGTCAGAAGAGGAAATGAAAACTCGAAATGGGAACAAGAGAGAGAGACGCGTGGAGGAGAAAACAGAGTGAGGCGTCTCAAAACCATGGGTGACATTAGGAGAAAGCTCATACGTGAACACTCTTCTTCAAAGAGAGAGAGCACTCTTAATAGGTTGAGTCCAAAATTGCTCCCATCCAATTACAGCTTGCAACAATAAGAGGGTCTCAAGCGTAATAAGAAGGAGCGAGTGAGAAAGAGAGAGAATGAAAAAAAAAAAGATAAAACAGTTCAACATGTCTTTGATTTTGATTATGATTCCGGATAATAATTTTATTAACTAAAAATTAAAAAAAATTATTTATAAATCAATTTTTTTCTGTTATGAAATTTGACATGATAAATAACAAGATACGAAAAATTATTTTTGTTTATATTTATGTTATGAAATTTAAATATTTGATTAGTTATATGACTTTTTATTGACTGTTATATCTATTAAATATAAATTATATTATATATATTAAAAATATTATTTAATATCAAAACGTGTCTCAACGTGTCGAAATATGCCATTTTTTAGAATTAACGTGTCGCTGTGTCGCCGTGTCGTGTCCCATATCCCATGTCAGTGTCCGTGCATCATTGGGTGCTACTACGGGGAACTTGAAATAATAGTACAGGCAAATTTGTGAGGCTTAGTGCTCAATACGTGTTTTATGTTTACCGAAAGAAACCTTGTAATCCTCACTCGCCCATAGACATCCTGTGAAAACGTGCTTTGCAATCTCTAGTAGCTCGTCATGTCACTTTCTTTGTACTAAAAACATACAACAACTTTGGAAAAGCAAAAACCAAGAACCACGAAAATGTGCAGACTTGGTGTGATGACGGTAAAATGAGAAGTTTAAGGCTAAATGATGGTTGGCTCTGTTTGCACGATTGAATTGCGTCAAAGAAAAGATCTTGTGTTTGATTTTAAAGTTTTTACTGATAGACAAAGATCTTGAATCCTCCTCATCATCATCATTATTATTATTATAATAAGAAAGGAGGTTATATTTACATTATCTTTTTCCGTCCAACTTTTTACAATAATTTTGATGATAGTTGGATCAAAATCAAATTAATCAGTTATAAAATAATATTACACGAAAACCATTGATTTTATTTTGATCTAACAACTATAAAAGTGATTATAAGAGAATTTCTAGGAGTAAAAATGTTATAAATATAACTTGTCCCTATTATTAGTATTATTTTTTTAAAAATGTTTAGCACTTTAGGATGGAATTACAATTCAGTCCCTGAACTAGCTCGCACCTCATATGACAAATGCTGATGCGGAACGCATTCACAAAAGCCAATATATATCCAAGCTAGTTGGGTAAAGTTGGTCTAAAAAAAAGTATGGTTTAAAATCTTCAGTGATATAATAACTATCTAATGTAAGAGAAGAGAAAAGAAAAGAAAAGAAAGCGACCAATATACCTTCAGCTGGTCTTTGGTTCCGTTCTTTTTCAGACTTTCCTATGCATTTGAAAGAAGTATTTCAGAAAGCACTCGTTTGGTTCTATAGATTTAGTCTAAATTCCCACCAATCCTAATTACATTGCATTTTGAATATGCAAGTGGAATGATGGTGTTTGGCACTGTTCAAAAAGAATTCTTGGAGGTGGTTTTTTGTGAAAACCGGCAAAAACGACCATTATACCCTCCAAAGACACAGATTTTTTCTTGTTTTGAATGTAAAGGGTAGGATGTTTGTTTCAAAAAGATTTTAAAACAGGGGTATTTTAGTAATAGCATCATTTTTTCCCATCTATATTTTACCTACAGCCAAACATAGACTTCATAAATATTACCTAATTTTTCCAGTAATATTTTTTTTAACCAAACAACTTTTTTTACATTTTTCTACCAAACTCACTTTCCAACCATTTTCTCACTATTCTTATTTTCCTATTATTCATAAAAATTTTCCTCAACCAAACGCCCCTCACTGAATCGGGGAATATTCGAAAATGTGATTCAGATTTCAAAGAGGAAAAGTATGGTACAACTGAATTAGCAACCCATGTGCCAATAAACAGAAAATGTGGGGAATACAAGAGAAGCAAACAAATAGAAAAGGCTGTGATGTACAATTGCAAATATAGGAATAAACATCAAAGATACCATACTTTTGTAATAAATATAATATTGGGAAGACAACATAAAGTTATTTAAGGGCCAATTGGCGAAGAGTCCTCACCCCACACACTGACGCAGTGAAACTGATAAATGAAACAGGCAAGAAGCCTATCTAGTGAATTAAATAACAGAACAAATTCAAAATGGTGTTATATGCCCTCTATAGACTTTCCATAAGGGCCATACAATGTTTGATTAGAATTAAATAGGGTGTTCGCGGGCTGTATTGGATCGGTTTTGGAAGCAAAAATTATCCGATCCAATTCCTTCGATTTGATCATGTAATCATCCATTCGGTTTGATTTTTTTTTTCAAATCCGATCTGATCCAATCCAATTTTTTTCGGTTTGGATTGGATCGGTTTTCGGTTTTTTGAAAATCCTAAAATTTATTTCATGATTATTATGCAAATAACATCTTTTGTATATATTGACTTTGTCATTTTTTTTTTTTAAATATAAAAGCATCATTAAACGATAATGTAGTTTTTTCTTTTTTGGCAATGAGATATGAAGCTCTACACAAATTAAATTTTGTTAATGAGATGTGACTATGCTTTTTCTTGAGTTTAGTTGATAGGTTAATGAGTCTTTGGTTTAGAAATTTTTGGGCTATGATTGGAAAAAAAACCAAGTAAGTAGAGAGAAATTAATATATTTGATCGATTTGGATTGACCAATCCGAAAACCGATCCAATTCAATTAAAATTTACGATTTTTTTTCGATTTTCGATTTTTCAGTTCGGTTATTACAATTTGAATAGGTTGATTAACACCCTAGAATTAAACTAGTCAATGAGAAACTTGGTACTCGGTTCAGATATCCGCTTCTTAATTTGTAGTTGTCCACGACTATTGAGAATAATTTTATTTGTTGTTCCTTTTAAGGGCATAAGTTTCACATTTTAAAAGTGTTGTTGCAACAGTTTTAGAGAAAGATTGGCTTAAATGAACATCCGATAAATAAAATTTCAAATTATAGAGAGAAATCCTTTTAGAGGCCTCCCAAAACCTAAATTATCTTGGAAGATACAGAAGTGTCTCTACTCTCTAGGTCCATCTCATTGACAATGTTAAGTTTTTATGTACTTTATCCAAACTAACCTAGAGGAGCCAGTTTCTTATTAAATTAATTAATTAATCACAAGCTCATCATCATTATTAACCCAAGAAGTGGAGGTGGAGAAAAATTTAAAAAAAATAAAAACTAGAGTCTTCAAGTTCAACACCTAGAAAATAACACTTACATTCATACAGTGACATACAGCTATTTTCCATCATACCCAGGCCACAGTCATGACCACTTTAATAATCTTTTCAACCCCACCAAAGCATTATCAAGCCAGAGAAGAGGGCCAATGAGAATATAGAGAACAAACTACTATCCTCAAGTTTAAGCCCACCATGACTCTCATCATTGTTGATGCCAGATCCTGAAGGTCCCATACCACTGCCAATCCCTCCTAATACTCCAGGCGTTGAACTATATGGAGTAGTACCACTGGTGGTGGTAGTAGTGCCAGTGGTTGTTGATGGAGTGCCATTGGTTGTTGATGGAGTTCCAGTGGAAGGGCTGGTGCCCATGGTTGGTGTAGCTCCCATGGTTGGTGTAGTGCCCATGGTTGGCGTAGTGCCTGCAGTGCTGATTTTGAAGACAAACCAATAGTTAGACAGATGCATGGCTTTCACCAACCATAAGCCTCTATAAAAGCTCTTTCAAAATGTTCTAAAACCAGAGACAAAAGCACAATAGCTAACAGTTGTAATTGCAATCTTACACGAATGACTATGTTTAAGTCTGGTTTCCTAAGAAAGAAATTTAGAATTCAGCAACTTCATTTTGTGTCTTGAGGTTGAATGATAAGGAATGTGAACATAATTGCATGGTCACTTGAGAGCTTGTATTCCCATTAAGCATTGAAAAGCACCAAATTTGAATTGCAGATGACGATTAACTTAAACTGAAAATTAATGCTGCATAACAGGTTACCAACTATTTTGAAACCAACAAGTATTGGGGAAGGCCCAAACTCATTGATACTTTCTTTGCGTTTTAGCTTACAATTCCAATTTTCAAAAGGGGTCACCTCAATTTGTCGATTTTAATGCACAGCCATAAAGTTTAAATAAACTACAACAGCTGATCTACTTGCATATTCAGTCTCAACTAATTTTTAATATGATAAGGACTACTACAACATGATTAATGATAAGCGCGCACACAATCATGCCATGATAACCCCACGTCAGAAAACATCTACAATAATACGATTTGCTTGTTAAAAACGGTTGTGTTTCTCTTTACCTTCAGCTGAAGAACAATGAATAAGGTAGGTACTAGATTTAAAAATTAACATGCATGAAGCCACCAGGTTAGTTTAGTCATGAAAATAATGAATAGTTACGATAAAATACAAAAAAATATGGACTTTTCTAAATTTGTAGGCCCAGATCTCGAAACAAGTGCCTGTCCACTCTATCAGGCTTTTGTTTCACCACTATCATCAAAGATCAAAATTCAAAAGTACTGACACATGAGGGATGGGTAGAGTAGTCCCACACTCTTCACACAAACGAGCTAGAGTCCACAATTTTTGACTGGCAAGTGGCAAGTGCATGCGTGTCCTGTTTTTTTTTTTTTTTTTTATTTCCCAAAAAGAGGCAAAGCAAAAGCATAGGATGAAAGAGTTCAATTGGGACAATCTTGTATTTTCTTAATGTTGTTGTACCTTTTTTATTTGAAATAGATTCCAACTTTACAAGGGTATGGGAACCCAATTATTGCGGCATCTTTCATGAAGTTTAAAGTTCACTGTCTCACTGCAACGTCTATAATCACCAATAAATGGGCAATGACTTGGATACATCATCGTTGAGTTACTATATTGTTAAAATGAAATGACAAAAAAAAAAAAAGGATTCATCTCCATTGGATTGGACCACTTGTCAAAGCAAAATAAATAAAACGGAGAAATTAAAAAAGATAGATTTAAGAGAGATAGATTTTGTCTACTAAATTTGTAAATATTTACTCAAAAATAATACCCCTTGGATTAAGTAATAATTAAAATCGGAGTATAGAAAACTAAATTAGCTATTGTGCTCCATTTAAATCGACAAAAAAATTATTGCCTTTAATTATAGTCAGTCCGAAATTTCTGGCTTTCATTTTTTTCACCTTTACTTTGTACGGATTTTTACATGCGTAATCATGGCAGCATAAACTTTTCTGCGAATATTGAATTCAGATCTTTTTATTTATCATCAATTTTAAGAGTGCCATGACAAAAAATGATAAATTAAAATGCATTAATAAAAATAAATTGCGGCAATAAAAAGTTCTCAAATATTATATCAAAGAGATTAATTTATTTTAACTTACCCATTTTTTCACATAAGCTGGTTTGACACCTTTTTTTAAGTTAAAACTTACTCTTAAGCTAAATTAAAATAAAAACAAAATAATAATTTTATAGAATTTGTGGCTTAAAATACTTAAAAGCTCAAATTAAAAATAAACTGACTCTTTTAATTACAAAAGCTTTTATAAAAATCTGTTTATCTTAACTAAAGCTTAAAAAGAAATCTAACCTCCGAAAATTTGGATACTCTCTCAAGCTAGGCCAAACAGATTTTGAAAAAATCTCTTACAATGAATAGCTTTTTTTGTATAATAAAGAAAAAAATTGAAAACTAAAAGCTCCTATATGTTTTTCTTGAATTGTGTACTTTTTTTAAAATGAAAAATTACAAAAGATAGAGAGAAATAATTTTATTGAAACATTTGCTTTTAAGTAATTTTTAAGCTAAATTTTTTATGTAATTAACAAACAACTTTTAGCTAATTTTTTAAGTTTTTTTTTTTTAACTTTTGATTATAAGTAGTTTCTAGCTTAAAAATAAAAAGATCAAAACATGCTCTCTTAATATATCTTAAAACATTGTTTATAGCCTAAAATAACCTCACGTAACTCTCTATTCAAGAGCAACAGTGTTATATATAAACGCTTCGGAACGCTATTTGCCTATTACATTACACGCTTATCATTATTATCATGCTGCGAATATGCCTGATGCAAAGTAATGTTCCCCCACCCTCCTTTTGTGGTCTCTGGATATAACACTAATCTATGCAAGTGCTCCACAGTCTCCATTATGAGAAACAAAAGTTAAAGTCATCACTACTAATCTATTATCAACATTTGAAAACTAGACATAACCATATCAAAACTTTAAGCAAAAAAAAGTAATAAAAAAACACATTAAAGTAAGGAAAAACAGGTAAAATTAAAAGGCTATGGATCAAGTTCATACCTGGCGCTTGAAGGGTAGGCACAACCGCTAGTGCCTGCTCATCAAAAAAGAAAGAACAAAAAAAAAATGGTCACCTACTATTATTGTTCAAGAAATATATGCAAAAAAAAAAAAAAAAATTTATGGAAAAGAGAGAATGAGGATTTACTGGGGTCAGATGTAACAACAGCGGCTGTTCCTGAAAAGTCACAGGACCCTGATGCTTGACCTTTCTTTTGGAAATAGCTATTGACTGCATAGTTACAGTGAGACCTTACTGTGTTGGGTTGGAAACAAGGCGCGTTTTGATGGAGAGGGTTACAATCAGCACCAGCTCCACAAGCATAGTCCAAGGTTTTCTGCAGGACTGCGTCACTTCCATCCTTGCAAACGCACCAAGCGGCACCTATCAGAGTTTACAACATATGATGTTTAATAAAAGCAACAAAATGTGGAAAAAGAAAAAAGAAAAAAAGGGTTAGAGAAAAACTTTTTGAGCATAGTAATGGTTTGAAAATGAAACAAAAAAAAAAAAAAGGTAAATATGCAGAACTCTTTTGAAGTAACAGGATACAAGGATTTTTACTACCATAACACAAACAAAGGAAGAAATGTGGAATGACATGCTCTGCATATGATTAGTACATAACTAAATATACCACTAGCTAGGATAAAAGTTTCTTCTTTGAAGATTTTGTGAGAAAAAAGAGGACAGACATAGATCGAGGTATTAAAATAAAATAAGAAAAAAAGAGAGGGAAGATCTCACTCCTTGGTTTAAAGTTAAAAAAACAAGGTTGAGTTAAGAGAAGGAAGAATAAAATGAAGAAAAAAGAGAGAGTTTGAAAGCATACTTGAAGAGCCAGTCAAGGCCAAGAGAAGCACTGGCAATGCAAGAGCAAGAGCAAAAGCAGCCATGTTAGTAGAGGCGGCAATGGTGTTCCCAGATGGAAAAGTGGTACAGCTAAGATAGATTGAGATAGAGAGAGAGAGAGAGAGAGAGAGAGAGAGAGAGAGTGGTGGGTGGGTGTGTGACAGATTGATGAATGGGGTGTGAGATCAGATGAGAATATCAGGACAAAATATAACCAAAGGGTAGAGTAGATTGATGCGTGGTTAAAGTTGTAATGTGTAAAACGGTGATTTGATAAGTTGTCCCCCCTATGGTGTCGGTTTGTGAGTGCTTTTTGTCCTTTTGCAATTTTAGCTGTGACTAGTGACTACTACTTAAAACGCTAGTAATCACGCTCTTCTTTTCTTTACCCTTTATCAATGAGGAAAATTGTTTCATAGGGACTCGCAAAAGCTCAACAGGACTGTGTCACTCTGTTCTCTTTTTGCCATGGTACGGCTTTGGCATCCAAAGAGTGGGGGGAGGAGATCAAAACAAAAAATAAACGAGTTTTTCAACATTTTTCTTGATTCCTTGTTCTTTTCAAAGGTCCAAAGACAGGGTAGAAATTCCTTAATATTTCTTATCTCCTTATAACATAGTAAATATTAATTTCTTAATAAAAATAATTAAAATTGATGAAAAGTTTTAAAAATAATTTGTGAGAAAATAATGAAAATTGCTTAGGGAATTCATTCACAACAAATAAATTTACTGAGTTCAGTCCAACCATATAGATGTTTTAACTACACTGCTAACTTGGAAATAAAAGATTATTTATTCATCTTAAATGATTTTTCTATTGTGCGTGCCTTTTATTAACATTTTTTTGAACTAGACTAAAATCTTAAAACCTTACATGGGTATGTTTCAAACACCGTGGTCCCATCTAATTTAATGTTCTTCTTTTCTAGTTGTGACTGTGAGTTTCCAGAAATTATGACACGAATCTGAACTCCGGACTATACCCTGCTTCTCTTATATATGAGTGTGTGACTTGTGAATTGAATATCTCACGATACTGATCAATCCCCAAATTAAAAAATAAAATAAAATAAATAACCGCACAAGTAGCTACCCAATGCAGAAACTGTGATTAGTGGTTCATTAACAATGTACCACGTAAAGTGGCAATAAAATGAGAAGTGAAATGTTATTTATCTTTTTTCCTCAGAGTCCAGGGCTATATATAGGGTTAGAGCTTCTCGAGGAAGAGACTTCACATATGTGAAATGGCTCGCTGGGCAATCTATGTCGGAATGGACCAGATTACCAACTTTGGGGCCGAGCCAATCAACAAAAATCTGGGTTGGGCTTTATAGGTGAAGGAGAGCTCTATCAATAACAATTAGGTGCAACATATTAAATTAGCTAACCCATATAGGTGAAGGAGAGCTCTATCAATAACAATTAGGTGCAAAATATTAAATTAGCTAACCCATTAACAAATTGGTTAACTAAAATCCTTTTAACAGCTCCTATTTCATTTGTCTGCATCGACATCTATATTGATTTATCTAAATTTAATTTAGTTAATGAAAATATAATACATTTTTATCAAATTTGAAATTGATATTTTTTGTTAGTATAACATTGAAAATTAGTAGTTTTCAACTATTGAAGTAGCCGAAACCTAACCAATGGAATATGTGTTGATTCAAAGTATATAATTTAAAGGGGAGGGATCTTTTGACTCAAGAGTAAGACTTAGTAATAATTATTAATACCAATTAATTAATTATTATTTTTAAATAAATAATAACCGTTAGATGGACGAAAATCAATGGTTAAGATGAAGAGTAAGACTTGTAAGTCTTACTCTTGAGTCAAAAGATCCCTCCCCAATTTAAAACTACTATTTAATATACGTTTGGACTTGGGAAATGTTATACTTACTACCTATTTTTCTTACTACTTCTTACTATTAAATCTTAACCGTTGATTTCCGTCAATCTAACGGTTGTAATTTATTGGATCTCATTTATTAATTAATTATTAATTTCTAAAAAATTATAACCGTTAGATTGACAGAAATCAACGGTTAATATTTGGTAGTAAGAAGTAGTAAGAAAAAAAGGTAATAAGTATAACCTCCCCTAGAAAGATTCTTATTAAAAAGTAATTTTTTGAATTCAACAAATATAAAGACAACTTCAAAATTCAACAACCTAAATCAAAATATTTTACAATTGCTACGAGAGAAATTCATTTATTAGAAAATAAAATAATCTAGGTCAAAAGAACTCTCGGGGAGATCCCTTTCACCAACATTCTCCAAAACCGATGGCCTCGAATAGTAGCATTGCAAGTCATCGAGGGTAGCATATTACTAAATGCTGAGGCCATTATATGCCTTAAACAATTCAATTACTTCTTATCATGGGGGTCTTGAATGTGGAGATAATGGAGCATATATTCAAGAACTTTCGGTATGGAATTTAGAATTGCAAAATGCAATGGCTGGTGCCAACACGAGGCACTGACATGGATACATTTTAATTTTGCAGCCTTGCAAAATAAACTCTGCCTATTCTTCGGAAAGAAATCTCAATGCTAGTGTAGATTTTGGAGCTGATTTTGATTTTCAAGCCCCAACTCGATTCTTGGTTCACTTGTCGTTGGTTGATAGAAATATGATGGATTTCAAAAGCACTGTTCCTGTTGGCAGCATTTCACAGACAGTAGGGTCATAGTGTCATACAGATCCAACATATCATTAAAATGTTGACAGAGCAGAGTTCAACTTGACTTAGTTAGAAAGTCTATATATTTACAGTGCACAGAACAAAAGATGTCTGTCGTTTCCGTGCATAAATTGTTGAGAAATTATTCCCAGTCAGTATCAAAGAATCCAGCATCTTTCATCTCAGAGTAATATGCGTTATCCAAAAGGAAGTCTTCCTCCTGCAGCAAGTGCAAACACATAATATGCTGTTCTGCCTGTTCATGCATATATTATAGAAAACCAAAAAGAAACAGTAAATAGCAGAGTGCTAACCTTGAAAATATCTGCCAGAAAAGTTACATAAAGAAATGGAAGATATAAAGAGTGATAACAAAGCACAGTGAGATCATACAACCTGTTGATGAGAAGGATATCCGTCAGTCAGTGCAGAAGGTATAGAGATGATAACTGAATACCTCTTCTAATTGCAAAGATATATAGGATTACCAACTGCCGAAACCAGCGCCAATTCCTGCTAGCCCACAAGCAAAAAGGGTAATTGCACTGAAGACAAACATTACAACGGCATAGTTGTAGAAAGTAGGCCTGGCTGCAAAGGTGACGGAAAAATTGAAGTTAGAATACAAATCCATTTAGAGCATAACTGACAACAGAAGGAAACGTTATACTCACGAGGCAGCTTCTCTTTCCATTCAGAGAAATGTACAAATAAAATAAAGCCATATGCTGCAGCAAGCAATAACTTATGGATTACCCACAAACCCCACTTGATCGTATGAGTGCTTCCAACATTGCGATTGAACAATGGGACCCCAAATCCAAAAACATATATTGTCTGATAAGGAAGTACTTGATTAGCAGAAGATGAGTCAAGAAACCACACATAAAAGGTTATGACAGTCAAAAGCCGTTTAAGGAGTAAGTAATATGTAAAGAACAACCAGCACCTGGCAGGGGGACATAAACATTGTGTTTTATATGCAAAGAGAAATAGCCATGAACGGAATGCAAGTTGTAACCACCATTATTTTTAATTTTAATTTTTTTGTTTGCGAAAGGAAAAGGAGAACTCATATTGAAGAGAAAAGAAAATTACAAGACAAGGATAAGCAATCCTCAAAACTCAAAAGAAATGAGAGAAAAACAAATAACCACCATATGAATAGATCCTAAATTAAATGAATAAGTCAATAACAGCAACCATTCTCCCTAGTTCCTACATCTCCTAAGGAGGGGACGGGGTAGGAGTAAAATTTTGGCTGCAGTTTAAGGTATTCAAGCAACAATGATGAATTAAATCAAAGACATTCATTCAAGTATATAATTTAGTACTTTATGGTTATAACCTCAGAAATTATATTTCCTCATTTATTATAATATTATGTTTGAACCCTCACCACAATATTTCATAGATGAACAGTCTCTTATTGTCCTATAATTTTTTCTATAGAAGTTTCTTACCATGCTTAAGATACCCTTCTTCCCCACTAATCTAAAGATGCAATTGAAGCTAATTATTTTGTAGGAATCTGAAAAGCTGCTTCCAAGTCAAATTGAAGATTAAAACCATTGCAGTTACAAATAATCCACCGCCAAAGCATGTGTTCAAACAATGAGGAATATATTACAATTTTCAAATATGATCGGTACTGCATATCAGTGTTTCATCAGAGAACATAAGCAAGATATGTCAAACCAGATAAGATACATGTAGGAGCTTTTATTTATTGAACTTGGCAGCTATGCCAGGACTAAATTTAATTTGGGAGGTGAATAAGCATCATCAGTAACTGAAAGTCAATAATGGTGGTGCAGGCATAAACCCATACACACAAAACTTCACATAAAAAACTTATAGACTTTTGTTAGTTTCAGGTTTCCTAAGTTAAGGCTACTAGCCTCTGGGTTTTCACTTCTGAGAAGGTTGAGAGACGCTTGACAGGATGAATACAGTTAAAATTTGGAAGCTTGCATTGTTAGTATAAACGAGATTACAGAAAATGACAAATAAATTTTTCCAAGGAACGATAGAGCTAAGATATGGAAAAAACTAAAAAGCTTAAAAACATTTTCAAATAAGCTTACATAAAGGAGGTTTGTGTTTCCCGCATGACCTTTGGAAATTTCAATCATGTACATTCTCTGAGTAAAGAGACAACTTAGCTGCCATGAATTTATGGACAAGTAGAACCATATAATCACTACCAAAACAAGTTCACTTATTATGCCAACGGCATATTTTGTTTAACATCATGTTTGGTGCCGCAAGACTTTCTTAAGAGTGTTCATCGCACTCCTTGTTATTGCTTCCAATAAAGTTGCAATCACGGTGATCAACATTGCGGATATGAAAAAATGATGATTAGAAAATTGACTATTTTTCTTCCCTGCAAATTGCCAATACAAAAGTTGATGGCTTTCTGAGCTACTACAATAAAATTTGCACTTGCGCTATAGCTTAAGACCAGGGTTACATTCAAAACCAGAGACAAACCAGTAAGTAGTAACTGGTGGGAGTGGGAAAAAATCACATACATAGATAAATGGGAAAATTACATGAAACAAAGAAAGAATGAACAAGTCTAGACACCAAACAGGGCTGAGTCACAAAAAAAAATCAACTTATATTTTACAACACAAACAAAAATGCATAGCACTTGTAAAAAATCAATTCAACCCACAAGCTTAAGCTGTTGGTTGAGGTTACATTAATAATCTTATATATTTCTAACACGACTCCTCACAAGAGAGCCCATTGAGTTTGAAAGATGGATGATGCATCAGTCCAGCCTAATTGTGCTAAGAAATTCCACAAAGAAAATGGAGGGCAACGAGGATCAAACCCCGGACTGAGACTCTGATACCATATAAAAAACCAATTCAACCTAAAACTTAAGGTGTCAAGAAAACATTAATCGTTTTATATATCTTCAGCTTACATACATGTACATAAACTTGAAAACCAGTCTCACCTTAAGAAGGGTATCCACAAAGACAATAATTCCTGATACAAGGAAAGTGTGTGGTAGAGTTTCCATGCCATTCATGTAGTTATCCTTCAGTAAAAAAGCAATCAAGGTTATCTCCAGACACAGCATACCACATGTTGTAAATAATGACAGGAGATTCCACGCAACTTCCTTTTCAGGAGAACACTGCCATTCCTGCTTAAGCAAAAAAATAAGAAGAAAAAGACATTGGATTTTAAGAGTAATAAATAGTGACACATACATATAGCTGAAAAACTTAAATTAGGATTGAAATTGAATTGCGGAAAATTTTCTGAGACAGAAGAAAGATGTGAATCTGTGATGTAATGAACCTGAAGAAAAGACCAAGCGAGGTTTAAAAGGGTAACAAGCCAAAGGAGGGCATAATAGGAAATGATAATATAGGAGCCGAGGCTCTTAATGTTCTTCTTGGCGTGCACCGTAAGATACAGAACGAACAAAAGCGACGAAACGACAAGGAAGGTGTTGTCGTACCCATTGCACTTCAGATCGTCGCCGTCGTTTGCAAATGGCGACGGAGCGGTAATATTGATGTGGCCCTGTTGGACACTGGTTGACATAGTTTTTCAAAGGAAGAGATCCATTGAGAAGAAAAGGGGGGGTTTGGTTGGTGGGGAAAGTGGAGTTATGTTGAACACGATCGTGGAATTGGGTAGACGATGATGGAGGTTCTGTGACCAATTCGATTCGAGAGATATCATTCAATAGATTGGCGACGAGACTTAACTGGGATTAGGAACCAACAACCAGTTTTAGTCCCTTGTTTTCAAAGTTTCCATGTGATAATAATGATGGTTATTTTAGAAGTGTTTAATTAAATTTTTAACTACTTAAAATTTGGATAAGAACCATTAGGACATTGCCAACGTGACACGTTTCTTTAGGGGTTGCTAAAAGAAAAAATAAATTTACTAGTGAAATATAATTATTGAGAAAATGGTGAGAACTGTTAAAAAGTCATTTTTTTGGAAAAGTTAAAAAAAAAATTATTTAGTAGGTCGAAATATTACTAAGAATATTTTGGTGTAAAATTGCTGCAAGTTTGAGTTTGACGGGGAAATCAAAATATCACCATCAAGGTGATATTTCTAAGTGAGCATTTTCCTTCATTTTTACACTACAATAATTTTCTTATCAAAATTTTTTTCTTAAGCAAATTTTCCAGACTTCTTACTAAATATGGTCATTTGTGAATCTCATCTACCACTTTCTTAGCATTTAAAAAAAAATCCACCTACCAAACACCCCAACCAAATTACCTAAATACAAGTTATTGCAAAATTTTGAAAAATATAAGGGTGAGAAAACTTATCGTAAGTGGCAGTGAGTTTCAATTGTATATTGACAAAATAATCAACTCAATTTCAGAAAGTCATAATTTCTTGCTCGAGTGTGTGAATTAGGTTTTTTTTGATTTCAAGTAACTTTTTGAAATCTAAAAGCTAAAAAATTTCGAAAAGATTATTTTTTAGTATTGTATGGTGAAAAATAAGAATAGGAATTAAATAATACCATTCACAAAGATAAAATGTGTCAAACACAACACAAAGAAGCATTTTTTTGCCAACGCATAGATCTGAAAAAGTTATAAGGAATTAGAAAAAAAATCACCTAATTCGAATATCTGAATCAAAAGTTATATAACCTTATGAAATTTTACAACAAAATTTCCAAATTTTGTACTACGTGCCATAAAACAACAAGCTACCAAACTCATTGTCACTAGAAGCGAGTTTAGAGACTAAATTCGCTTCCACTGACAACGAGTTTGGTGACATATCATTTTGCGACACGTGGTATTTGAAATTCGTTGTCATGCGTTTGCCACCGTGATATTTTGGCAAATTTTTGTGATAGCATGGTTTTTCGATAATTTTTTTGGGAAGTGTGTCAACATGATCAAAGCCCGAATCCACTTACAGATACGCCGTTTAATAAATATTTAATTCTATCAATTCAATGATTTGATTGAATTTTTTTTATAGTTAATTTAAACATTTTCATTCAATTTCAAAAAATTTATATAGGAATAGGTTATTTTGCCTACCACTCTAAAATACCAATATATCAAAATCTTAATTAACATTTATCTTTCTCTCTCCTCTTTAGATTAAGATTTATTCTACCTACCTTTGCCTACCACTCAAAAAGATCATCAGATCAGAATCTTAATTAACATTTGCCTAACTACCTTTTTTTTCTGCCTACCTTTGCTTACCATTCTAAAAATTAATTAATATTTCATTTCATAATTTTTTTAATATATAAATCATGTTTAATTTAACGAACAAGATAAGATGGGGATAAGTTATTCTACCTAGTCTTGTTTTGTCTACCTTTGCCTCTTAATACCGTTAGTTTATAATCTCATCTAATGGAGGAGATTTGCGATATAAAGTAAACCCTTTTATCCCTTTCTATCCCTTTATTGTCTCTCACCCTTTCTTTCTATCGACGAAGCTAGAGACACAAAAACACATAGGATCGAAATCTCCTGTGAGTTTGAATTGATTTTTTGTTCACTCTATTTGTCATGACTCTTATAATATAGTTTTGTTTATCTTGGTTGATGCCCAAGATGGCATAACATGACAGTGATTCGAATACCAAATCTCTAGCTTTATCTCTCTTCAAAGGTGCTTCACTAACTAAAATTGTACGAGCGTTAGTACGCTTCAACAATAGTATGACTTAGAAAGGGCCAAATAAATTTTTGTTGAAAACAATTCTTGCATTTTCCTGACAAACAAAGGTTTATTTCGGAAGTTCTATTAACAAACATAAAACCTTGTTGTGAGTTTTAATTCATTCTCTGTCTTTGTCGTTAGAGAAAAAGGGTGGGAGGAGAGAGAAAGAGTGAGAGCCAGTGATGGAAAAGAAATGGGTAAAAAGATTTATTTTATTTCGAAAATCTCCACCGTTAGATAAGATTATAATCTAACGATGTTGTGAGGAGTAGACAAAAGTAAGCAAAATAAAAATAGGCAAAATAACCTATTCCAGATAAGATATTAATAAGAGTAGCAAATGATATGAGTCTCATATTCTATATTGTGCGGGTAAATAAGATAATGTCGTGATGTGATATAAATAAAGAAAAATTATGATATAATTTATAAGTTTTTTTAAAAGAAAATTAACTATTTTACTTTAAAAATTATTTTTATTGTAAATTATATAAATACCAAAGTAATAATTTTAAATAAAATACATAAAATAACTTTCAAAATAAAAAAATATCTTTACCAATTATTTTTTTTAAAAAAATAAGACTTAAATTGATTGACAATATACACCCATGTAGCACGACAAAAATAATTTAAATAACACAACATAAATTTAGCATGCATGAATTTTGATTAAGCAACCACAAAAATCAATATAAACTGTCCTCGTATTCAAAATGGTTAAGCAACTCTTACTTCACATGACTATGTGGACACATTTTCTTTTTTTCCAACTACAATATGGGTTTTGATTTCCCTTTCTCTTGCTGCTAATGCCTTCCTACCATTCAAGCACATCCTTTGCCCTCTCTTTTGGCCCATTGTTCTTATCCTCCAAACATGAAGCATCTCTCGGTGGAAATGAAATAAAAACTATAAACTACACCTGGTCGTGACCATATTTGGGTTCATTTGAATTTGTCTGTGATCATTATAATATTCTTCATATCCTCATGTAAAAAAAATTATTCATATAAACTCTTAGGGAGCATTTGGTAGAGGAATTTTTTTTTTTTTTTTATCCGAAAATCTCGATTTTCAGAAATATGATGAAAATATTCAGTTTATGATAATATCCGAAAATTAAAAATTTAAAAAAATTCAGTTTCCCAGAAATCATAAATAATACCGCGTATCAAACGCCCACTTAGTTTTTTTACCACTTATTGCAAGTACCCGATAATAGCATAGTCACATACAAACTTGAAGATACAACTATCTACCCCAACCTCTTTTTGGATTTTCACAAACTAGAGTAGTAGGGACTTCTTCTTTTATTAAGGGGATAGGGACAAAGACAAGCTACAAGAAGCCAAACTCCAAATCAGGAAGATAATCATGATGAGTACACATGTGGTGAGAGCCTGGGCCGAGGATGGACCGAAAGTGGCACTGCTCTTTGTAGGGTAAGCCCATATGCTTCATCCATGTTGAGCTTTTCAGGGTTCAGCCCATTCTCAAGCTCCCAATCAAATGCATGAGCCAGGTTTGCAGTCAGCAACTGAACCACCCTGAGCCCAAGGCTCATACCAACACATATCCTACGTCCAGCACCAAAAGGTATAACCTCAAAGTCATTTCCCCTAACATCAACATCACCTTTCTCACCACCGGGGAGGAACCTTTCGGGCTTGAACTTCAATGGTTCAGGCCATTCCTTAGGGTCACGTGCAATGGCCCAAACATTGACCAACAGAGTTGCACCTTTAGGAATGTGGTAGCCGAAAACCTCACAACTATCTGCAGCAACTCGTGGGAGAGAAAGAGGGGTTGATGGGTGAAGACGAAACGTTTCCTTCACCACAGCCTCCAAGTAAGGAAGGTGAGGCAAATCCAATTCAGTGACAAGCCTGTCCCGGCCCACAACACTGTCCACTTCTTGTTGGACCCGGCCCAGAATTCTCGGGTTCCTTATCATTTCAGCAATGGCCCATTCTGTTGTGCTTGATGACGTGTCCGTTCCAGCCGCGAACATGTTCTGCAAAACAAAATTGCATCAATTGTAGTGTTATATATTCTTATGTAGTAATTAAATGGTTGTGAAGTTCAATCAAACGTGCATCATTATTAATTAACATAACATATATTATTGAGTAGGTACCAAAAGTAATGCTTTGATCTCTGTATCAGTGAGTTTCTCTTCATCATCTTTAAGTGACAACAACGTACTCAACATGTCTTGGTGCTTCTCTCTCTTGGAGTTCTTGTGTTCCTCAACAATGCTGGCTAAAAATGCGTCAAACCTCTTGTGTAATTTCTTCATCTTGGCTTGTACTCCCTGAAGGTCAAGCCACTCCAAAGCAGGAACGAAGTCACCGATATTGAAAACTCCAGCCAATACCATAAGCTCCACCACCATTGATTTAAACTCATCCGCTCTGGGATCACAGCCACCGTTGCCGTCGTTGAACACTCTCCGTCCAATCATTACCCTCGCCAATGCGTTAGTGGTGCACACATTCAACAGTTGTCCCAGGTTCACCGCTTTAGAGCCAGAACTTGCTAAATTGCTTGTCAGTCTTGCAACCTCTTCCTGTATATGCATTTAAGAATAATAAATTTTATATCAAATCTTAATAGTCAATTTTTATATATATGATGATCCTAATTTATTTAGAATTAATAATTAATTAATTAATATAATTTAATAAATTATAATAGTTAAATATATAAAAATTAATGGGTAAGATTTAATGTACAATTTATATATTGAGAATATAGTTTATCATAATTTGTCTCTCACTTTGTGTGTGTACGATACCATTGTGAAAAATTATATTTCCATGTATATTCATTTTAAAAACAATGATAAAAGTCAATTTTAATATATTGTAGATCCAATGACATGCATATTTTGGAAGTTGCCTTAATCTTCTGACTATTCAAAATTTAATATCTTCTCTGCTCAAATGATTCTATATACAATTAAAATTCTATTAATTTAATTTTCATGCTACTTTTCTTGTACACTCTTTTCACACCTATTTCTTCGTCTATAATAATTATGGAAAATTATACTCTTATATTATAGAAATTTTTCTTTTCTTTTTTTTCACACATTGATTTTTTTGTCTGTACTTTTTTCTGTAAATCATGGATCTCACCTGAAATTTGTCTTGGCATGAGGGGTAATTTTTCTCCTACAACAATAATCTTCATTAATTATAAAATTTAATATTTCTTATATTGTAGTAGATAAATTTCATTTTTTTAGATAAATTTCATTTTTTTATATATAAAAATATATTGGGTTGATACGAAAAAAAAAGAGAAAAAATATAAATTTCATATAGTTATATATATATAAAATAAATTTATCTTTTAGCATGTAAAAAATGAGTTAGAAAAATGAAAGTAAACTTAAAAAAAATAACATGGACAAAAAAAATAGACCCATAATTATTCCAGGACATTTTGTGTGTTTCAAGAAGAATGACGTTTGTGTTTATGACTTTGTCATTTGGATGTTGGTTGGTGAACTGTGTGGTTTAAGAACAACCAAGTGTCGTAGTACCATTTAAGAGGTGGGGTATAATTTAAATTTTGTCGTATGTCAGGGTGGAGCATTGTACCATTTTAGAGGATGCGGGGTATTTTGTCGTATGTTTGGGGTGCATGGATTATAATTTGATTTATGCAAAAAAATGTTTGTCATTTTTTCTTAAATGATATAATTTATATCATTTTATTTTTATAAAAAAGTGAGATTCACATTTTTTTTTTTACTTTTTTTTTTTTTTTTATACAAAATAACATAACTTTACAGTATCATTTTACCCTTGGTTTATTGTTAATTAGACCTCTCCGTTTTTAGCTCCATTGTTCCGAAAGTTAATTGAAGGTACCAAATCTAGGCTGGTAATATCTGAGAAACCCATAAATGAATATAAATTTTCGACAATGCCACCACTCACCTTCACAATGCATTAATTGCTGAAGTTATTAGTGATTGAATCCCATGGCAGCAGTGCATGAATGCAAAATGATACACAGGGCTACCTACGGGTTGTCTACTTATTTTTTCCTCTCGCATTAAAAGAATATCACGTGGTGATATAAATTAATAATAATAATTGTATAATTTTTATTTTAATATTGTTCTCTTTTTCCTTTATTACTTTTGATTTATTTTTATATGATTCTAATTTTTTATATGACTATATTATGTATTTTTTTAATAAGAGGATCCATTCTCAAATAAACGAGAATTTTGAAAAAATGGACTAATTAAGATTCCCAATCTTAGATACACCTTGGGTGAGTCTGATGCGGGTATTTTCTATAGTAGGCAATCGTATTTGAAATGAGTCTAAGATTAGGGTTGGCAAAACGAGTTAACCCGGCTCAACCCGACCCAACTCGCGTTCAACTCAAAAAAAATATCTGGGTTAGGGTTGTCTCGAAAAATAAATGAGTCAGAAAACTCAACCCAACCCGACCCGAGTCGGGTTAGGGTTGGCTCGAAAAAATAGAAAATAAAATAAAATTTCATTGATACTATAACTTCTAAATTTTTTCCCTAAATTATTAATTCATTCAATACAAAGACATTATACAGATAAACCATAGAAAATTCCTTTTGTATTTGGACTTAGACTTATTGGCAGTTGGAACCATATTCACACTGTCACACATACTATAAAAAAAGTTCTTAATGCACGATTTTGGACTCATTGGCAGCTATAGGGTATTTTCATTTGGATCTTTGGAATTGAGATTTTAGGTTTTAACTTTCCACTTTACCTTCATTAATTTTTATACTTTTATATAAAAAAATAACCCGCGAGCCAACCCGTTTGACCCGTGGGTTGATTCAATTTTTTTCGAGCTGAAACGAGTCGGGCTGAATCGAGTTACTAACTCATTTTTCCTAACCCAACCTGGCTCATTTTAGTCGGGTTACGAGCCAACCCGATGGATTGGCTCCTTATTGCCAAGCCTATCTAAGATTAAGGTTTTAAACTCTTATTAAACATAGTATTGAAAAGGATTAAATACATGCGTGTAACTCGATACCTCCTCAGGTCAATTGAGCTACTATCATTTAATATTAAGTGCAATTTTATCTTTGAAGTGGTTATGGGGTGATGGTTTAAATTTTGTACTCTTTGACTAAATGGTGATAGCTTATTTGGTAGCAAGTAACTAAGGAAGTGGAAATGAAAATATCTCGGGTTAATTCTTATATACCATATTTGTTAAAGGTTTAAATATTTTAAACCTGATCCGTCCTGCACTCTAGATAGTCTCATAATCGGTTCAAAGAATTAAAATTTATAAAAATGAGTCAATTCACCTCACCTTAGAGAGGTAATTAAGGTTGTTAACTAAAAAAAAAATTTACTGTTTGATGCTTGATAGTGCAAAACAGAGGAGGAGAGAGATGAAAAAAAAGAAGAAAAAGACAAATTGCCCAGATTAGTCACCGACACGTACAGTTAGCAAATAATTTATATTTGATAAAAAAAACATAGTTTTGTCATTGAACTTTTTTAAGATTTTTTCCCGTTTCAAATTAATTCTGCAATTTATTACTTTAGCATAACAATTTCTGAAGGACTACCTCTGTTGATACAACTAACAAAAAAATAATTACACTAAATGAAATTGTAATCTAATGACCGACAATTCTTAATCATGTGTTTTTTTTATCCTGAAAATTAAATTTTAAAGGTTATTGATATCCTTTTCAGTTAAAAAGCAATTAGCTGACCTATATATTATTCCACACAAGAATAATATCTTGAGGCAAATTAAAGACGCAAAATCAATATGAAATTGAAATGATACTCACCTGCCGCAGGTGTCTAAAATCATCCAAGGCCTTGCCTGAGAACATGTGAACGGAGCTTATTTTCCGGAGCAACCGCCACCGTGGGCCGTAGGGAGCAAACACAAGGTCTTGATAGTTATAAGCCATGTATTTGGCGCCGGAGTTCGGTGGCCGGCTGCAGAAATTAGCATCATGAACCTTCAAGAACTGCTCGGCGACGGAGGCGGAAGCGGCCACCACAACGTCAACGAAACCCAAACGAAGGTGCATGAGAGGGCCATGGGTGCGAGCCAAGGCTGCGAGTGCATGGTGTGGCACAGGACCCATGTGAGGTAAGTTTCCGACTATAGGCCATGGTCGTGGACCTGGTGGTAGAGGTAAGGAAGGACGAGTTATGAGCTTGAAAAGCTTGCGAATGAGGATGGCTGCTACAATAGTAGCAAAGCCAATAAACCAATTAGGAGACATGGTCACAGATATGGATTATGTGTGTGTGTGTGTAATTAGAATGGCGAGCAAATATATAGTTTCAAAATGGCAACAAGATTTTATGTTATGAACTTACTGTGATGGCAACAAGATATTCACATGTGTTACTCTTTATAGTTTTTTTTTTAAAAATATTCGCGATACGCATCATCTTAAGATTGTTAATATTTTATTTAATAAATCATTCGGTACTCAATCGCTAATATATATAATCCAGCCATAGGTACAGTTTACGGTTTAATTAACCCTACCAAACTAGTTTAGGTTTAGTTCAGAGGTGGTTGAGATCGATTTTCAAAACAATGTTTTCAATAAATAAATGTACTTTTATAGAAAGTAGAAAAGTAAAACGAAAACAAACAAATTATGGTTGAAGGTGACTTCACAACTGCTCTGTATAATGCATGATCATAGGGACAGTGTTACCTTGGCAAATATTCATAACTAATTGCAAAGGGATTGGGAAGACTGCTTTGAATATCTCCCTGGAGCTCAAAATGATTGTGCACATTGGATGGCTAAATATGGATTTCAATCTTCTTTAGGATTAAACATTTTTAATAATATTCCCTCCTGTCTTAGTGTTTTACTTGCTGAAGCCCGAAGGTTGATGTCAAATGTGTCTATGTAATATTTGTTTTTGGGCTTTTGCATACACATATATATATAGAAAAATATTTTCTCATATCGTCGTAGGAGAGTTGTTTTCTTCTAATAGTGATCATTCGATTTTCGTGAAATATTTTTTATTTTTTATTTATTTTTTAATAGATGTGGGTCACATATAAGATGTGTCTACAACATGAGAAAATTTTCTTCTATCGCATAAGAAAATTGAAATCCTATATATATATATATATATATATATATATATAAGGTAGGATCCTTTGACACCTCATGTGAGAGCCGTTAGATCAAAAAAGATCAATGGATATATAGGTAGATCCTTTAACATTAGTGTCAAATTTAAAGTTTGACACCTCATCTGAGAGTAGTTAGATCAAAAAAGATCAATGACTCTGATTTGTAAGCATGTGACACCATTGATCTTTTTTGATCTAACGGCTCTCACATGAGGTGTCAAATTTCAAATTTGACACTGGTGTCAAAGGATACTCATTTGACACCAATGTCAAATTTAAAGTTTGACACCTCATCTGAGAACCATTAGATAAAAAAAGATTAACGACTCACACTCCTAAATTATCCCTTGGGGCACTACACTCTTGTGGAGGGGAGATGAGCTAGGTGGCCTTTAGTCCATCACACGAGCGCCGCCGTCTGGTGGCCGGCCGGATCAGATCGAAAGTGTATCTGAAATAAAAATAATATTTTTATTAAATTATTTTATTAATTTTTTGTCCAAAATATCCCCATCTCTATCCGTTTCTTCTCGCTGGTTTTTTGAACCGAACTGGTTCTTACCTTTCGGTTCAAACCGACGCGTTCATTCATATTGGATCGAACCGGTCACCGGTTGTAGTCGTTCACTGAATCGGTCACCGGTTGTACCCGTTCGTGACCGTTAGTCACGACGATTCATCGTGACCGGTTAGTGTCTATATATAGACCCTGACCCCTTCAGAAATTTTCTCCTGTTTTCTGCACTGTTATTCTGCCGGATTTTTTCCTTCCTCAGATTTTTGCATACTTCCTTCCATTCTCCGATGTAATTCCTCTGGCATCTTGTTCTGTCTGTTCTTTTGAGCTGTTGACTGGTAGTGCCATTAATCTTCAGACGCAATTTGTTCTATCATGGGAGATAAGTATCCATCAACTTTCGGCATCGGTAAAGGAGCAAATTATCTTAAGAAGACACTTTCTGTGGGCTCAGATTTCTTACACTATCCTATATATATTGATCATTCTATTCTATTATCTTCCATACTGTAAGTCTATTTTAATTTTCTTGTTACATTGTGTTTGATATTATGAATTATTAATCTTATCTATATATAGGTTAAAATCTCTTAGCGATTTTTAATATGATTCACTGTCTTCTATTTATCAACTAAAACAATTTCATGTGAATGTCATAGCAACAATTTTCCTGATTAATAAGGCTGCAAATCTTATTAATTAGGATAGGAGAACTTTTTGTGGTCACTTTCCCACTCACGTCTGCTATACGTTTTTGTGGTCAGTTTCTATTTTGTGTGTGTTGGTGGATTGTGGGGTGGGGGTGGGTTGTTGTCAAATGCTTTTATTGGAACGTTAAGAAAAGTAAAAAAGTACGCACTTTTTTTTAAAGCAAAGATGCGAACTTTTTTTAAAGGGTTTTATAATTTTCATTCAACATGAGAATTAGAATTTTTCTACACACCTTTCGATTTCCGTGCTGATATGTGTCTTACATATAATTTTTTCTAACATATGAGTCCCATATGCTTTTTATCTCTACAACATGAAATTTGAATTCTCATTCAACATGAGAAAATCAAACCTCTTTTTTAAAATACTTCAATCGATTAGTCCGGTAACTGAAGTACCACTATTTAGTTCAAAGGTGCGAACTTAACTTGTTTGGGAGATGCTAGCTTTCCTTGGTTAATGGGATTTATCATTTTAATCTTGGCAAGTTGATGCAGCTGATCAGAAGGTATAGAAATATATAAAAAGTGGAGGATTATATTGACAATTATTTTTTATAAACTTATAAATTAGAGAAATGTTATATCTATTATCTATTTTTTTATTATCTCTTATTATCAAATTTTAATCATTAATTTCGTCAATCTAACAATTATAATTTATTAAGTGACACTTTTTAATTAATTATTAATTTTCAATATATTATAATTGTTAGATTGACGAAAATCAACGATTAAAATTTAATAGTAAGAGATAGTAAGAAAAATAGATAGTAAGTATAATAAAAAAATTTACCAGTAAAACTTTATTCATAAGTGTCTTATTAGTAAGACATAGTTTAGTTTATAAATAAAAAATTTATAAGTATAATTTTTCTCATATAAAAAAGAATAATTTTATTTTCACTCATTTGATTATATTATCTATCACAGTTTTCTCTGGTCTTAACCTTATTATTTTGACAAATTGTATTTATAAAAATATATCATTTAACCTCTATGATTTTAAAATATAACATATAATCTATTGTGGTCACAAAAATGTATTACTTAGACCTCTAATGGTTTTATATATATAATTTTTTAATTTTATATTATTATTATATGTTAAATTAAGATTAAAATAAAGATTAAGTATTAAGTATTAAAGATTAAAATTAAAATTATATGTTTTTAAATTATTTTAACTATTATCTTAAAATTAAATTATGTATCAAAAAATTAAAATATTTATTTATACTATATGGAAAATAAAAAATATTATTTAAGATATAAAACAATATCATCATAAAAAATTATCTGAAGTTAAATTAGGAAAATTATTATTTTTAAAATATATTTATGACTAATTAAAATTAAAATTAAATTTACTATTTTTTAAATTTATTTTGAAAAAAATATAATATCAATTACATCCATATTATTTAAGAAATATAAAAAAATTATTTTCCTTCTTTTTAGTTCAATATTAGTATAATAGTATCAACTCAAATTATAATAAATTAATTTCTAAAAGTAAACATAAAAAAATCTAAAAGTAAACATAAAAAAAATCTAAAATTATGATAAAGTTAATAATTTATTTTAAAATTATCTTAAAAATAAAAAATATTGTTTAAGAGAATCAACATATCGTTTAATACATTTAACCTAAATAAATTAAAAACAAATTAAAAAATCTTTTATTTTTATCGCAAAAATAAATTTAAGTCAAATATTATTTATTTAATATATTTTTTCTGATATTATTAGAATATTATGAAAAATAAATTTATGATAAATAATTTATTTAGATTACACATCTTTAATTTATTTTAAGTAATATTTCAATTTTGAATATATTTTTATGTAAATTTGAAATGATTTTTAAAATAATTTCAGAATAAATGTTTTTAAATATTTTTAATTTAATATTTAATGATTAAATTTATTAAAATTTTATTTTATATTATTATATTTATATAACATAAAAATTAGGAAAAATAAAGAATTTATAAAACCATACGGGTATATGTGAAAGTTTGTATAAAAATATTATTTAACTACAAGGGTATATTTATAAATCTATTTAACTACAATGGATATATATAATAAGTTTTAAATCCCAACGAATTAAATGATATACTATGAAACGATACGACATGACTTTCCTATAAAAAAATTGCAAATCAGGAATTTTATGTGCACTCAAGTTTGGTTGCAGTGGAAACTAGCAAATGCTGAATATGAACAATGATAAGAGATTTAGGTAATGTAACGGGGCTGATAGGGTTTGACCTCTATCGAAGAAGAAGCAAGAAGGAAAAGATGAGAAGAAGGAAGATTCAGAGATGAGAGAAGAAAATTGGGTATTCTGTTATTTCATTTGATAGCCGACATCTGTACATCTCTAGTCCTTTTTATTATTACACGTATCCTATTCTTGTATACGTCATCACTGCACTAACACTTTGCTATTATATTTACACAATCACTTCTTTACAATGTATCTCTAAATCTTAATGGTCTTCTTTTCTCTCTACTTGCTTTCCTTTCTGCAATGCTGGGTTCCTTTACATCTCCTTGCTTATTTTCCTCTGTCTCTCCAGCTCTTGAACCTTCTAAATTCGTCTTGTCAGTAGTTGTTGTATCAATACTCCCACCATTAAAAACAACCTTGTCCTCAAGGTTGAAGTTAGGAAACTGCTGTTGGAGTTCTGCTACATTTTCCCATGAAGTCTGTTCAGCAGGCATACCTTCCCAAAGTATTAAAACTTCAATGGTACCATCAGCATTCTGTCGAGAGGCTAACATAAACTGCATAACTGGCAACCCACCAGTAAAGAATTCTGGTAAGGGAAAGGGAAGGGTATCCTGATTTCCTTGAAACGGTTTGAGGAGTGACACATGGAAAGTATGGTGGATCCTTGCTGTATCAGGCAAAGTGAGTTTGTAAGCAACCTTGCCCACTTTCTTTT